ATCTCTGTGTTACAGCAGTTCCCTCCCCTCTTCCTCCTCTAACTCCAACACAAAGGAGAAGTGCCAAGCAGAGAAGAGCCCAGCTGCCATCAGAAGGATGAAGATGTTGGGCCTGAAACCACACAGATGAGGGAGAGGTGGCAGCTGGAGACCCTGAATCCACTGGGAAGGAAAGCATCCCCCCATCACTGAAGGCTGGAAGGGGCCCTGAGCAGCCTGACCCAGTGAAGGCATTGCTGCCCATGGCACAGGGTTGGAAATGGATCATCTTTAAGGTCCCTTCCAACCCAAACCGGTCTGGGATTCTGGGACTGAAGCCAAAAAGCAGAGCATTTTGAAGCCAAGAAATGCAGCCAAAAATTCCTCTCTGGGGTGAGTTATTGATGGTCTCCTCCTCCCCCCAAGCCCGTGTGAAGATGGGTTGGTGTCCAGATTTGAGATGTCACTCTTCTCTGGAGCACTTGTGACCCTGCACACCAAGAGGCAAAACAGGAAAAGTAAACCAGAAAACAGGAAGAATGAACTTCTGCAGTGAGTGCTCAACACCGAGGTTACACAGGTAATGGGATTCAGCACCTGGCCAGGGGGCTGGGAATGCTGGTGGAGACCCAGAATCACAGGGACTGGAAGGGACTTCTAGAGACCCTCCAGCCCAACTCCTGCCAAGGCAGGGTCACCTGGAACAGGTGACACAGGAACGTGCCCAGGTGAGAGTTTGGAATGTTTCCATAGAGGCAGACTCCACACCCTCCCTGGGCACCTGATCCAGAGCTCTTTTTCCCTTCCTCCTGCTGAAGTAGAACTTCTTGTGTTTTAGTTTATGGCCACTGCTCCCTGTCCTGTCACTAGAACCACTGAACAGAGTCTGGCACCATCCTCTGACACCCCCTGCAAATATTTATGTGCATTAATCACATCCCCTCTGAGACTTCTCTGCTCCAGACTAACCAGACCCAGCTCTGGCAGTCTCTCCTCATATGAGAGATGCTCCAGACCCCTCATCAACTTTGTAACCTCTGCTGGACCCTCTCCAGCAGCTCCTTGTCTTTCTTGACCCATGAAGACCAGAATTGAACCCAAAACTCCAGATATAGTTGAGCAGAAGGGAAGGATCATCTCCCCTGACCTGCTGGCCACACCAAAATGCCCTCCAGCATTCCCTTGGCCCTCTCAGCCCCCAGGACACAGATTGAACATTAACAGCGAAACTGGCTCAAGGGTTTAATGACCCAGAGCAGGTTAAGAGCCTCCATGAAACTCATTCATCCCTTTGCCATGGGATGGGGCCGTGGTGTCACAGCTGTGTCCAAGGGATGCTCCTGCTCCAGGCACATCCAGGGGCAAGGGTTCCAAACCCAGGGAATGCTTGTGCACAGCTGGGTGAACATGTAGAATCCTGAAGCATCACTTTGCTCTGCCTGGCCTCCTGCTGGCAGCCTCAGCAGGGGATCCCAGTGCCAAGTACCTGAGGAGAGTAGATTAGTCCTTCCCTCCTTTCAAGCTGCCATCCCTGCACCTGGGAATGCAAAGGCTGCAGCTGCTCAGTGGAAAGCAGCACTTCCTGTGCTCACAGCAGCTTCCTATCTGCAATAAGAGGGAGAAAAAGGGAAAAAAGGCCCCTCCAGGAGTTTAAACCCCTGACAGTCTGTCAAAGCAGGCTGAAGTTTATCTGAGAGCAGTGACTGTGCAGGTCTCACCCAGCACTGTGGCTCTTGTAAAGCAGCTGCTTTGGGTGAAGGCTCAGAAACTCTGGAGCAAATGGAGACCTTCATTCCCAACACCCATTCCTGCTCCTTTGTGCTGCTGCTTTACTGGAACTTTCCACCCCTGGGCATGGGGAATCAGAAAAGGAGTGGTTTGCCTTGAAAGGTCAAGGGAGACGCAGAGCTGGGAGTGAAGCACATGAGGAGAGCTGAATTCACTTGTAATCCTTGCAAAGAAACCACTTTTTAATAGTTTCTCTCTGAGTCAGACTAAAGACAATATGGCCTAATAAAAGCTTTTTTTCCACTCATCTCCCATCTCCCTGCCCCCTTCCCCACCCTGTCAAAGGGAAGTATGGACCTAAGCTCACACCCACATGTAAAACTGAACTGGAACATTTCCCACGGACCACAAAACAGCCTCATCACAGCTTTTTTTTCTATCTGTGTTGAGCAATTTTACACAGAAAGAGACACTGAGCCTAGTGAACAACTTCCACAGGCTGGGACTCACCCCCAGAACTGGAAACAAAAGTGCTGGAACATGCAAAAAGCTTGTTCCAACAAATACATGTTACATTTAGAGTTCAATTATTTCTCTTTATCAGGATGAAGGCAGAAGAGGATAGCCCAGGTGGGAACCACAGAGCATTTCTATAACACATCCCTCTTGAGGAACAGAGCACCATAACTGCCCACCCAAGGGCCTCCCACCCTCAGGATGTTCCCTGAGAGCATCCTGAGAGCACCTACCCCATCCTAAACTCCAACAACCCACCCCCAGCTGCTGAGATGCACCAAATGAAGGCTGACAGGCTGAGGAGCACCAGGAAAGGTCCACTGGCCCAAAGCAGCACAGCAATGAGGGCCAGGATGGATGGGCTTGGAGCACCCTGGTCTTTGGAAGGTGGCCCTGCCCATGGCAGGGGGTGGAATGAGATGAGCTTTGAGGTCTCTTCCAGCCCAGACCAGTCTGGGATCCTGTGATTATGAACTCTGCCCCACCAGGGCAGGAGCCTTTTTTGCCACAGATCTTCATGGAGATCTCCAACATGATGATGATCCATCAGTGCTGGAGCCAGGCAGTGCTCACAGGCACCACTGCAGCTGACAGGCCTTGGGGTCACACCCCTAAATATCAGCCAAGGCTTCAAGCGACCTGAACTTCCTGTCTTGTCTTGGACTCAGGCAGAGCTCAAGTTTGTACAGAGGTGGAACTGGTGCAAGGCAGTTCAGAGGCAGCAGTGGAGCTATGGGATGTGCTAACACAATTCCAAAGGGGACCTGACCTGCCCTCAGCATCAGCATCTTTCTGAGTCGAGGGGAGTGAAAAGAGGGGAAAACAGAGCAATTCACAGTAAGCTTTTAGCCCAAACAGCACCTTTAGTCAGCCTTTGCATCTGCAGCTTCAAGCCTCTGGAAGTTTAGATTCCAGGTTTAATATTGACAGGTCACCTGCCAGGGGGGTTTTCTCAAAGGGAACACAATCCAGAGCAGGCTCAGTCACACCATGGCTCCCATCAAAAACACTCTCAGCAGCCCAAAACCCACAGACAAACCAGTCTGTGCCACTGACAAAGATATTCAACAGTACCATCCTCCTCACTAAAGGGAAATGACTGTTCAAGAAAACTTGAAGACAGAAAGCTGAGACTTCAGGGTGCTTTTCCAGTCCTCACATCCCAGCTCCATCCCCAAGCCAGGAAACTGAGCTCAAAGGAACCATTCCATACCATCCTGAGAGCCTGCTGGAATGATTTCATGTTCATGCAACAGTCAAAAATGTGAGTTCTGTGCCAGCACTAAACACTGTTATTAACAGGCTTTTGGGCTGTGAACCAATGTTCTGGTGGTGATGATGCTCTGAGGATCCCAGCTGGGGAGCCAGGGGCAGCAGGGACAATGTCCCAGCACAGCACACACACACCATGGTCTGTGACACTCATGGTGTGCCTGCAGAGGCAACGACACGTTCTGAACATTCCAGAGGAACAGAGACTCACATTTAGGAGCCTCCTTTCCCTGGGAACAGACAGAGCTCGACAACAGACTGGAGTGGTTGGAATTTCAGCACCTTGTGACTATTCCTGCACAGGGAGGGCTCTCAGCTTCCTTCTGACACAGCATTTGCTCCAAGTCAAAATCAGTCAAGAGGCACAGAAATGTTTCTTCCTACTCTCCTTTCGGATTTTTTACCTCCACAGATTCTTGACACCTTAAGATCAACCAAGAGCTACACAAACAAGCTTTATAATCCTGAGCTAAGCAAAGCAAGGGATCAAAGTGAGTTTCCCCCAGGGCAACACAATCTCCCACTGGCCCCTCCTGATACCTCAGACTTTGTCTCTGCTCTGCCCAGACCAGAGGTCCCTATGCCACCACTGCTGGCAGCAGGATTCCTGTGCTCCCAGTTAATATCCAAGCACCTGACACAGCATTCAGTATTTCTGCTTGTTCTGAGCTTTACTTTCTAACTAGAGCAGCTTGACAAAACATTATGCTGGATAGAAAAGAAAGAAAAAGAAATGCTGTACTCACACACAACTGAATTTAAGTCCAAAATTTTGCTTCTAGATAAGAGTACGGATTTAGATGGGGCCAGTTCAGTACTTTCCTAATGCTCTATTATGGAAAGGAGAACAAAAATACACCAAATCCCTGAAGAGCTATGAGAAGTAACTAGTCCAGGAATAATAAAACCACGGAAAGAAAGGAGGGAGTTGGGAGAAAGATAAAGGGTGGTGGGGGTTTTTTCCCTAATCCTACTGACACATTCATTAAGCCCTTAGATTTGTGTGCATGTAACTCACAGACAACCCTGCAGGAAAAGACTTTGTCAATTGAACCTGTGCTGCATCCTGCACAGTAAAAGCTGCAGGACCCACAGAGGAGCCACGAGGTGTGGGGTGTCTGACCCCTCCAGCCACCCTGCAGCCACAGAGAAACCCCCAGCAAAACAGAAAGTCAACATTCCTAAAGGGAGGAAAAGGTCAGCGTGGGGAGGGATCAGAGTTCAGCTAAAACCAGTCACAGGAAGTTCAAAGTAACTCTTGTGTGCTTCACACCAAAGCATAAGTGAAAATTAGATCTCCTTCTTCAGGGGAGTGGTGAGGGATGGACTGAAAAGCAAATCTGCATCTTTTGTGGAAGAGCCCTGCTGAGAATAAACACAGGAGAAGGGAGCCTGTGTTTGTGGGAGCACACCTGAGGTGCTGGGGGCACTGAGCACATCTCCAAGCCCCCAGTTTTGTCCCCATCACGAGCCAGCTCTGACCCTCAGCCAGGGCAGGTGCTCACCTTCCTCTTTGTTGTTGGTGATGTCTTTCAGCAGCTCAGTCTTCATGCAGCTTTCTTTCCTTGGCTCTCCCTTACTCAGCACTGCTCGCTATGGTAGGGGGAGAAAAAACAGAAATATCAGGGTTGAGCTCGGTGCTCAGACACACGGTGCATTCAAAAGAAGAGACAATCATGGACACATCCTGTTTACAGCACAGCCAAACCTCCCCCTGCAAAATAAAGGCTGCCAGGAAGCTGCCACCAAGGCACAGGTCACAGATAAAACACGGCAAGGCTGGCCCCAGCTGACAGCCCGAGGAGCACAGGGGCTCCAGGCTGTGCCCAGGGCTGGCACCTCCCAGCTCTGGCTTGGATGCAGGCAGACAGATTTTCCCAGTGCAACGTGCCTGGGAATCCAGCTGAGTCGGTCTGTGTGAAAGGCATCTCGACGAGGGACTGACTTCCCCAAAACTTTTTAGGCTTTGGGTGGGAGAGGCAGATCTATCAAACTTCTCACTACGACCTCATTTATCAACATTTCCAGCCCATGTGCTTTTGGTGGCTTGGTTGGGGTTTTTTGTAGCTCTTTCAAATGAACATCCAAAAATGCAAACCATCAGTCAGCTACAGCTAGTTCCTCATTCATAACATCCATGTTTATTAAAGTTAATGAGCTCTATTTTTAATTCTATAGAAAGCAATTTTTCTTTTTCCCCCTCTTTTATGAAAAAAAAAATGTAAAAAGGGAACACCTGCTCATCTCCTCTGCCTTTCACACGCCTGGCATCACGTTGTTAGTTCAGGTTCTCTTTCTATTTTGAAGCATTAAGACCAAACAAAAAAAAAAAACAAAAAACCAACAACAAAAACAACTACTAAAATAAACCAGAAAGAAAATGGTATTTAAAAAAAAATGAACTAGAAGGGATCTTTGCCACAGCTGTGTGGTGTGGAGGCAGAGATGGGGAGAGCCCTGCAGAGCTGGAGGTCGGTGCCGGCGCCGAGGCACAAGAATAAGCCCAGGTCAAGCCAACTGTTGTAGGCCAGCACAGGGAGCAGATGGTGCCTGCAGCCATGCAAATCACAGGCTTTAAAGCACACTGGGTGATAAAAGAAAGAAAAACAACCTGCCCACCTCCCTTAGAGCAAGTGAGGGGGATGAGACAGCATGGAGCCCGGTGTAGCAGCTCCCAAACCTTGCCAGCCTCGCCCATGCCCATGGGGGATTGTCCAGAGCTGGCAGGGGAGATGGGCCTTGGTGCTGCTGCTGTCACCAGCCACGCTGCCAGGCTGGTGAGCTCAGTGCAATGCCCTGTGCTGGCAGGGGCTGCAGAGCAGCCCCCAGCCCCACGCAGGGCTCATCCAGCCCCACATCCCTGCAGGATCGCCCTGTCCTGCACCCAAATCCACCACGGCAGAGACACACAGCAAGGGAAGGAGGGACACACACCCCTGGGAAAGCCTCCACCACCTGCCAGGCCCAGAGATAAGGGCACTTCAAGGATGGCTCCTGCAGCACAGGACAGAGGCTGTGGGTGGCTGCATGTCCCTGCCTGTTCCCAACCTGCCCCGAGCAAAATGTGACACAAACCCAGCCACATCTCAGTGCCCTCAGCACCAGAAACTCGTGCTCCAAGCACAGCACCTTCAGATCCCCAGTCACAGACCAAAAAGCTGCTGTGAGCATTGGAAAGCTCAGCTCAGCCCAGCCTGACACAGAACCTACCTTCAGCAGACACTGGCCAACAGCTGCCATTAAGGAATGATCATAAAACACAGCCCAAACTCTGAACATAGAGCAGCTGTTTTATTTATTTATTTATTTGCTGAGCCAGTACTATATAGCCATGCTGCAAACATGAGCTTGCAAACCCTACCTCTCCTCTAGTCAGACCTCTTGTAAACTGGGAATAACTTCAATTTTTCTCTTGGATTATCCTGCTGCAGGACTTGAGCAAAGAGAGCTCAGAGTGCTCGAGGGCACCCCTGGCTCCCACCACAGCCAGGGGCACCCAGGCCCTCGCCACAGGCACCAGCAGCAAATAAAGAGCCTCAGTCAGTCTAACAGGGACCAGTTTGTTTTCCCAACCTTTGTTGCAACAAGGAGAGGTCTTGATATTCCTGCTACTCCACTGACTCATACAAGAAGCCCCAGGATTTCCAGGGGCCATTCTTAGCTATCTGAGCCTAAGTTTTTCTGTATTTTCTAAGCAATAGCCTCATTCCACACATCTCCCTTCCACAGAGGCCTTGCTGCTGCTTGCCCGTGAAGAAAAGTCACTGCAGGAACCCTGGAGTCAATGAGACCTTGACCACCCTCCCTGCTTGCTGCAGTCACCAACAGCTCAGAGCTGCCTGCCCGGCTCTCAAAGCAGAATTCCCAACTCCAAGAGAGACACCATCACTTTTGTCCTTTGAGAGTACAAAAGCTGGGTGCCAAGGCAAGGCTGGCTGAGGTGGCATCTCACAGGCTCTCCTGCTTCCTACCTCAGAGACAAAGCCCTCGCTAGCAGAGGCAACAACGTTACAACTTCCCAACAAAAACCCAGCATCAAGGTAGAAAACAAAATAAGAATTAAAAATGAAAAGCCAACTGTGAATTTTGAAGCATTTTGATCAGAAGGAAGCTACAGGAAACCCATGCAAAGCACTCGAAGCCTCGTCCCCCCAGGCCGGAGCTCTGCCATCCTGGCTCCATCAGCACCCAGCACCGAGGGGCACCCATGGGGCACCCAGCACCATTCATTCCCACCCAGCTCCACCCAGCCAACTTAGCACCAACTCCACCGCAAGTGTCAATACCTCCAGCTTTTGTGTGTGTGTGTCTGTGTGTGTGTGTGTGTGTGTGTTGGGGGTTTTTGCCCTCCCCTCCCTTAAATCCAGAGCAAACTTCCCTTTCTGCTCACCCTCCCCATGCCCCATCCGTCCGCTCCCGATTGGCAGGGAAATCCTATACCCACCCTCCCCGCCGAGAAATGTCTGCTCTTGCAGCAGTCCCAACAAAGCCAACTGCCAAGCACACGCTGCTTCACAATAAAAGTCTCACTCGCTCCATTTATTTTTTTCCTCCTTTCCCCCTTTCTCGCAGCCGCCTGCCTCCATTCCCTCGCCCACCCCAGACTGATTATTAACCATCCGTGGCTGGAGAACCTCCATAAAGAGCACACGCTACCAGCCATGAAGCATTCTTGCCCCCCCCCAACCCTTAATTTTTAGGTTTCAAAGGGTAGAAAAAATTAGTGCATCTGAAGAAAGACTGATTGGGTCTTTGAAAGGGCTTTAAGAGCCATGAGGAGCCAAGCAGAGGAGATACTGCTGGTTTAATTTTTTCCTCTCTGCCTCTGTTTACAAGAAAACAAGCTTCCTCTCCTCCATGAGGTCTTTGGAGGGGATGGAAGACAGGTCGGACCAGCCAAGGAAAGGCTCTGCAGCATTTCCTAACACATGATGACTACAAACTACAGTGGTGCCTTTAAAACAAACAACAAAAAAAAACCCCATAAAGCAAAAAAAGCCCACCAAAAAAAAAAAAATAAAGAAAGGAAAAGAAAGAAGAGAAAAAGAACAAAGCTGGGAAACACATAAAGAGCTTTCGCAGCCTCCTCTCCTTGGCATTTTCATCAGCCATCCGGGTGCCCTTCGCAAAGGTCCAAACAGGTTTTATAGGCAAAGACAACACATGCACAGCAAAACTCCAACATATTGCAGCTTACCGAGCCCAAGGGACCAGAGTTACATCATGAGCCCGAGCTCTCTGCTCTCCCGGCAGCCCGGGAAGGAGCGCAGGCTGAGGTGCCAAGATGTCTACCTTCACCAGGGTCCTTTTTTTTTTTTTTTTTTTTAATGTCTTAAAAATCAACGGTCTGGGAACCCGAGGCTCGGCAGCAGCGTTACTGTGAGCAGAGCTGTGCACACACAGCAGGTCCATCAGGAAGAGGGCTGGGGGCAGGAGACCCCTCAAAGTGCCTGCTCCCATCCGGGGCAGCGGATGCACCAACAACTCTGCAGGATGGACTGCACTGATCCTGCCTGGCAGCCTCCAGCTGGGCACCAACCCTCCGAGGTGACACCACACCCCTCTCGGGACACAGCCCCAGGGAAAGCTCCCACCAGCCAGGAAAACGAGGGCTGCAGCAATGCTGGAGCAAGGCAGAGACAAATCTCTCAACAAATGATGCAATCCCACCAGCAGTAGATTCTTATTCACTCATTTTTTCCCTCCTTCTCCTAAAAATATAAAAATAACGCAACCCAAACCAACCTGCTCATAATAACCTTTGCCTTGAAGAGAAGACAAACATTTTGTAGTTAATTATATAGGAAGTAATGATTAAGAGGATGTTTGTAGAAAGAGTGTTTCTTTTGTAGGCACGGCGAGGCTGCTCATTTCAGATCTCAGCACTCAGCTTGGGCAAGGCCTGGGCTCGAGGCTCGTGGGGACGCTGACCACGGGCCTGTCATTAGAAACGACAGAAGCATTTGATCTGGAGAAGGAAGGAAACACATCCACCAGCATACCTGGCCTACAAAGCAGTCACCAGTCTCAAAGCTCCTTTTTTTCAGGCTAAGGCCACTTCCTTATAAGCCTCATGCAATCATGTGAACATGGAATTTTATCTGCAGCTCACAACAAGCACTGCCCTCAGCCTGAAGTTTGCTCCCAAATCAAATTCTTTGCAATTCTTTTGTCTCCTGAAATCCTTTCATCCAGACTCTTCTCCATAGAAAAGAAACATTTCCTTCTCAACCCCCATGTCCTCTCTCTCCTATTCCAGCCGCACACGTCAACTCCCCGAGAAGGGGGGAAGCACAGAAAGAGGTGCAAGTCCCTGCATGCAACAGCTGGGAACACGGAGACACGTGCATGAAACACAACAGGACTTAAAGTGACTTCTCCCAAGACAAGGCATTCCACGACGGCGTGCAGGCTTCAGGCAAGGGGGGTCTGCAGAGCCCGTGCCCTCCTGGAAAGGGGAGATCGATTTACACTTCCTCACTGCTTCCAGGCCCATCTAGCTGCATCCCAGTAGAGTTAAAGCCAGTGCAACTTGTGTGTGCAGGCAAATGTAAATCCAGAGCAGACAAAGGCGTCCCCTCCTTCCACGGGCTGAGGGTAGCAAGGAGTCCAGCTGCTGCCTGCCTTCTCCTAGCCCCCAGGAGGGGAGGGGGGGAAGAAAACCCTAAAATGGAGACCAAGATTCATCACTGTCTCTAGCAAAAGCAAACCAGCCATTTCAGAAACACCCAGTCCCCAGGAACTGGCTGAGCCAGGACAATACCAGAGCACCAAGAGGAGCCTGGAGCAAGCAGATTCCAGCAGTCCAGGGCAGGGGAGCTGGGAGGCAGCTCACCCCCATCAATGGGGCTCAGACACCTCTTCAGCCTCCGCGCTGCTCTTCCTCCCACCCCAAAGCACCGCAGCCAGCGGAGCAGGTCCCTGTCCCCCCTGCCCATCCCCATGGTGCCCAGCCAAGGGGCACGTGGGGCAGCAGAGGAGGGAAAGCCACTCGTGGGTTCCCGTGGGACCACGAGGACCGGGCCGAGCTGCCCACACCACCTCCACCTGGGTCACCTCCGGCCATGGAGCGGCCAAGCAGCAAGACAGCGGTGCCTGCGAGCCGGGAAAGCGGACGGGGAGAAGGGTGGGGGGAAAAAAAGACAAAATAATAATGAAAATAATCATAATCATAAAACTTGCACCCTCGGGCCTGTCCCTCTAATAACTACAGCAAAACCTCACCAAGGCCTTACTCTGCTGGAGGGCGAGAAAGCGACACAGCGCTGCCCAGCACCCGAAGTCCTGGAGGTGGGAGATCCTCACACCCTCTCCTCCATGGCCTACGGGCTTCGTCCCCGGCGTGGGGCCTGGTTTTTCTGCTCTGTCATTAAGAGTGGAGCCTGGTCTTTTCCTTCAATCCCAAGAATTGCACGGAATTAGATCATCTTTCTGGCTCGCCTCCCCCTACAGGCAGCTCCCGAGCATGCTCAGCGCGGCCGCGCTGCCATTTCATAACCGCATTGTTTACGGACACACGGACCTGCCATCTTTTGACAGGGACACAGGGCCCGTGTCCCTGCCCCGCGCCCCGGCCCCGCCACAAACACCCCCCTGGGGACGGGCAAACGGCGAAAGCATGGAGAAGGAGAAGCCTGGGGGGTGATGGTGGCGTGTTTGTTGTTTTTTTCTGATGGTTTTTGTTTCTTTTTTCCTCCTTGATTTAGGTGAAAATCCACTTGCTTTGGAGGGAGAGGTTAACCCCTGTGGGGGCTGTGGGGAGGAGGAACTCGCAGGGCTCGATGCAAAATGCCAGCCATGATTTTTAGCTTCTTTGAATCACAACTGTGCTTCGATGTCACCTAAAAATATAATCCCCAGCCCAGTCTGCCATCCTCTGCCGAGCCTTCCTCTGTGAGAAAAGGGGTTGGAAAATATGGTATTTCCCTTAAATAAACAAGTTGGCTTAGTCCCAGCACATACAGTTTTCTCCTTTAAATGCAAACCAGAGTATTTTTGCAGCCACACAGGAAAACGAGGAGAGGAGGAGGGGAAATGTTCCTCATTTAACACCAAGAACTCCATGAAAAGCCTTGCAAGGTTGCTCGGAGCCCCGCTCCATTCCAGCCCTCTCCCTGTCTGTGCTGATCATACTTCACAGGTGAAAGCAGCTCTGACTTATGACAGAGAGAAAATGCCAGAAGAGTTGGAGGTTTCCTCATCCTTGGAACAAGGACAAGTTGTGAAAAGCTTCCTTTGCAAGAGTCACTGTGCTGCTCAGGCACAGTATGGCAGCGTTGCAGGGAGGACACTTGCACGTCAGACCTTCTTAACCCCCACTGCCTCGACCCTTCTCCACGTCCTTCCCCCTCCTGATGGGGGCTGAAGGAGAAACGTAAATAAATCACCTGCTTTGGAGGATGCAAGCTGTTGTGTTGGAGTCCAGGATATTTTTTTAAAAGCTTGCTCAACATTTTCTCTCCTTCCATATTTTCCTTTTCTTTTTTTCTAATGGATGCTTTCCAATTAGCTTGTACAGTTCGAGAGCTTCGCTCCTGCTGCTTTCCTGACTACTGTAAATCCTGGCAGGCTGCTCTCCTCCTCTGCCCCCCTCCAGGACCAACACCACCCTACAGCAAAGCCAGACACGTATCCTGCACCCAAGAGACCAAGCGGCTCACACGGGCACAAGAGGGACAAATCCCACTGGAAACATGATGGGCCATAAGGGTGTGCAAAGAGGGGTTGGTGTCAAAACTCTGAATTCAGAGGAGTCAGAAAAAAATAACTGGCTGAAAACGGGAGTTGAGGATTATATAGTCAGGGATTCGTTTCCAAATCACTGACATTCCATGTCACTGCAGGAACATATGGTCTTCCAAGGCTTGCAAGCAGGGAGCACACGCCATCAGTGCCCTGAGCCTTTGGGCTGACCCCAACACACGGTCACTCTCCTGCTGCGGCCATTCCTCGACCACTCTCAGCTCCAGGAGCGGGAAGGTGAGAAGGAAAAACTTCAGGGACAAGCAGCAAAAGCAAAACAAAGAGGAGCAGCAGGAACCAAGCCAGCCCTCCCCCAAACCAGCTGGCCAGGAGAGTGGAACTCCTTAAAACTCCTTGTTTACCTGAATAAAACAACTCACTGCCGTCGCATGAGGTGCACACAATCTTCTTTCATTAGGAGATAGCAGCACCACATGGGAGAGCTCAGGGAAGCCGGGTCATGGAGCTGCCTCTGCCCCCTGCCCAGGGCTGGTCTCACAGAGGCTGAGCTGCAGGAATATGCCCCATGTGTCCCACAGAGCCCTGTTCTACCCAAACATGTTCTGGGACAAGGGCAAGAGCTCGTGCTGGCACTGCACAGATAGTTAAATAAATGAAACGGAGCAAAACCAAGACCCAAAGGCCCCACTTTGGGCTCTTAACCCTTGCTGAGAAGCAGTGCCAAGCCCAGACCTCGGCAGCTCTCTTCTCTCCAAAGTAGGTCAGGCTTTTCCGCATCTCTGCAGACACTTCCAAAGGGCCCCAGCTGGCAGGGACAGAGCTGGGCGCTTTCAGCCTGTGCCACACCGGTGTCACTGTGGTCACCATCACACACGAGCACACCTCACACACCTCAGCAGGGTTTTGGTTGCCTCCTCAGCCTTCATCAAGCCCAAAGCCCATTTTCTCCCTGGGTGGAGCTGCTCAGGCAGCAGGTCAAGGCCTCAGCTCTTCACTGTTAAAGAGAAATTTCATCTCTCTCCTCGTGACTTCTGATGCCTTTTCCTTTTCTTCTGGATAATGAACAACGAGCACATTTATAGTCCAGTGGAGACACGATAGATATTTAGATTAGGTATCATAGATTGGCTGTGTAAGCTCTCTAATCTTTTAAATGCCATCTTCACATCTTGTTCCTTGATTGAAAATTCAATATTGTGTCTGCATTGCAGCTTTGAGGGTCTCCCTGGGGCACAGCAAGCTCAGGCCAGTGTTTTGCAGGGATGTCCGTGCCTTCCACGGCCTTGGGACCTTCTGTGTCCATCCCAAATCTCACCGAGGTCTGTGGCAGGCAACAGACTTCTTGCACGTAACACAAATCACGGAGCAAAAAAAAAAAAATAAAAATCGCAAGGACAGAGCCAGGGGGCTGAGTTTTAAAACATGTTGCAGGCGTGGACCTCCTGCCATGAAATCAACCAGGGATGTTTCCTTTTAATCAGCTGTTTCCTTGGATTGCTACTATGAAAAAAAAAAAATAAAAAGAAGACGAGACAGGGGAGGAAGTCACCCCAAAATAAAAAAGATTGTTTCTTCCTGGTAAAATATTGTTGGCTCTGGCTTCCACCCAAGTGAGCCCAAGGCAGAGGCTGTCAAAAGAGACCCAGTGAGGAGGTGCCATGTGGCCACAGGCTCTCTCCTCCCCTGGAGAAGTTCAGTCTTCGAGCAGCTCGGGCACCCCAGGCTTTGCTCCTTTTTCTTCTAAGAGCTACAAGCAGGGAGGCTCCTTGGAGAATTTCCCAGAAACTCCACACTTAAAAAGCACAAACAAATCCTAAAAACTCCCCCAAAAAACCCCCAAAAAAACCCCGAGTGAGCCTCCCCACCCCAGGAGACAAACGAAAGGCGCGAGGAAACAAAGCCCGAGGTTTGGGGGTGGCAATGCCAGGTGCTGAGCCCATGGAACCCCATGCCAGCAGGGTGAGCCATCCCAGCAGGAATATCCATCCCAGCAGGATGGGTCCATCCCAGCAGGAATATTCATCCCAGCAGGAATATCCATCCCAGCAGGATGGGTCCATCCCAGGAGGAATATCCATCCCAGCAGGAATATCCATCCCAGCAGGATGGGTCCATCCCAGCAGGAATATCCATCCCAGCAGGACGGGTCCATCCCAGCCTCCTGCCCTCCCGCACACGGGGCAGCCACGTGCAGGAATATCCAAACAAATGAACGAATAACCCCGGCCATGCTTCCCCGGCCTCTGCTCCTCCTCTCCAAGGCCTCTCCTTCCCCAGCAGGACACAGCCTGCCCTGCCAGGGCCTCGCCAGGCACGGGAGGTGGACGGACCCTGCGGTACCTGCGGGCAGCTGTTGTCTTCTTCTGGTGAAGACTCCAAGAGTTGCATATTCCAGATCCTCATGAGCAGTGATTCAGTTTCTGCTCATGTGATAAAGCTCCCTCTACAGAGTGAGCATGCCCAGAAGAGCCCATTTCACTGCTCCCTCCACTGCAGCCATTTCACAGAGAACCTGCCGGCTCCAGGGCGTCCATTGGAGCGCGATTATCCCGGGCATCCCGGGGACGCACCGGTAATGCAGATCATCTGTCAACTTTCTGACAGGGCGCCAGGCCTCAAAACTGATCACTCGCCTGAAAAAAAGAGAAAGCTTTTTAAACCAGAGTGCTGTCTCGTGGCCTTCAAGAGTAGCTCTTGCCCGTGGGAAAAGGAGAGGCAGGAGGGACAGGGAGGGACGTGAGTGGCTTGGGGATGTCCTCGGGCTGATTTTGTTGAGCTTAACAAAGCCCCCGACCTCTGAGGGCTGAGGTGAAGGAACACGGGTTAAACTGATGCAGTGAGCAGTGTCCAAGACAGTGTCTTCGAGATCCGAGCTGCTGATCTGAAGGGGAGATCATTTTCACTTTGAGGATTAATAACCTGACCTGGTACAGCTGACTTTGAAAGGTTATCACAAACATAGTCATGGAAGAGCAGGGGGGGAACGGAATGAAGGGACACCCTCATGGATCCATCTTCATCCTCACCCCAATGAAGGGATAGTTCACTACGAGGTGCAGGAGCTCTAAGCTCAGCATATGTCAAATTCTACAATACTGCTGGACCAGCCAGCAAGATAACAGAAGAAATTTTAGCTTCAAAATAAAAGTAGTTTGTCTCTGTTCCACTTCACAATTAAGCACAAACTCTTGGCAACCTTCATATCTGCTCAGGCTCCCAGTAAAACTGCCAGAACAGCTCACAGGAACATCTGTAAGCAGAGCTAGGCTGGAAGGCATTCAAGGAAGACTGGCATTTATGGGAGGCAGGAGCAGGAGGCTGCTGGAGCCGGGTGTCAGGCTGGAGAACCTCCCCCCGAGCAGGGGGAGGGCGGCCGGCAACCTCGGGAAGAGGCCAGAAGGAAGAGGAAACTCCGACATGGCCCCTGGCACCACCCATGTGCTCCTGGCCTAAGCAAAAACAGCTTCCCAAAGAGCAGAGCACCAGAGAGCGTCCTCCTTCAGAGAGAGTTCTCTTTAAAACTACAGTGAAGACTGGAGTGTAATGTGTGACGGTGAGCTGGGGAGGGCAGGGAGCAGCCTGCACTGTAGGGAGGAAAAAGCCATCTAAAGCCGTAGGGAGGTTTGGAGGAGCCTGGGGATGATGTCTGCCCTGCCCCAGCACCAGGCCTGAGCACAGCACAACAGCCATGGCCGGCTCTGCCAGGCTGGGAACATCCACAAGCCACGTTTCCTCCAGTCCCAGCAGCTCCTTCACCACCCTGGCCAGGCACATTTGCAGAGCTGCAATAATTAAAGCAGCAAAGAGCTGCTATGGATCTCCCTCGGCTATGAAGATGTTGTTTTCCTCTCCACACTTTGGAGAAGCTTCACTACTAAACAGTTAAAACACACAAGGCTAAATCGAGATGATTGAAATTCATAGGCAAGGAGTATTTGAGGTGACAGTATAAAGAAAGGATCGCTCTTTCACCCACCGGCTTTTCGTTTGATGTGAATCTTAAGTTTTAATATACACAAAATGAGATTTTCCTGGCCTTTCTCTCCGTCGCTGAGAGGTGCAGAGGTAACTCATTTAAAGACAAATTCAAAAATCCCCAAACAAAAGCAACAAACCCCAGCTATGCAGACAGAAGTTGCATTATCCACTGCATCAAAAGATTACTGTACTTCAAACCAAAGATGGCTTTAAAACAGTTGATGTGCTGCCCTTCCTTGCAGCATGAAATTACCAAGCTTTCATTAAAAGCCCAGAAATAGAAACGAAGATATTAACAAAGACAGTGTCAATGATCCACCACAGTCAACATTCCCTTTCTAAGATAAAATAACGCCGGAGAACGGCGGCACAGCCGCAGCCTCCCCATCGCATCTCCACACCAGACATGTTTTCACTGCTGAGGTTAAATATACACTGAGAGCAGATGCTACCAGAGACGCTTTTCACATCTCATGACCACCCTTGAAAGCACTAAACACTGTTTAGAAACAAAAAGGAAAAAGCAGAGCTCATCAGGGCACTGCAGATGTTTCAACAACCAACTTGAGTAAAGCGATCGATTGGTGCCGTAGCAGCATCTCTGCCACGGGGGATGCCCGGCTGTCAGTCAGTGAAATCTTACATTTATGTCATCCAAAAGGAGCAAGAAGCTTCCAGGGCACAGCCATTGGCAGTGGGAGAGGTGCCTCCTGCCCAGGACCCCCCTGTCCCCCTTGGCAGGGGTTGGGTGCTGCACAGCAGCAGTCACAGTCCTTTTTCCAGGCTGGCTGGGGAGGAGGTTTTGCTGATGATGGAGGATGAGAACAGGCCTGTGTCCCGAGAAGTTGTGCCCTTTATTTAACCCAAATCCTCTCCAGCAGCCTCCCCACCATGCCCAACACCCAAACACTGCTGCCAGGCCTCACAGACCACAGGGTATTTTCACTCCATGGCTCTCCAGCCTCCCTTCTCTGATTGAAGACTCAAACACCCCTTCCAGAAATCCCACATTTTCAGGAGGAAAGGAGCAGCACAAACACCTCCCTTCACAAAGGACAACAGGTTCCTCAGGGCTCTTGCTTAATGGCACCATTAAGTCCAGCATTTTCACAGCTCTCTTGCAGGGGAAACCCAAGTGGGAAGCAAAGGGAGGTTTTTCTTTTTATAGGAAGAACAATATTTAGCTCTGCAAATTACAGAGGGTTTTCCTTATTTCCTTTTTTCCATCAGACTCCTCCTCTTGCAGACCCTCCAGTTGATCAAATCTGATACTCCCTTTCAGCCTCCTCAGAAGCAATCCCAAAAGCTGAAGGGACTTTGGGTATGAGATGAGCATTTCTGCTGGAATCCTGATTGGTTTATAGCAGCACAGAAACATTCTCCAGCTCCACCACAAGCTATTCAGACGTTCCTTTTGCTCTTCAACTGTAATATACAACATTTCTTAATCAGAATGTCCCAAGACACACTGGGTATCCCCAGCACCCTCCAATGTCCACCTCCAGGTGCAGGTAACAGCTTTGAAAGAACAGGAAGTCATTAATGCATCTTTTGGAATAAGAATTTTCCCTATCTTTCAAAACCTGGTTTCATTCCCCCAAAGCTTCCAAGCCATCTCCCTTCCTCTCCCCTTTTCCCCAGCAGAGTTGAAAACTGTTTTCACTTAATAGGAAACAAGAAATGTTCCCTGGGATGCTGCACTGAGTAAATCATACACGCTAAAAAGGGAAAAAAAGGAAAAGAAAAAGGATCCTCTTGGACAGCAATTGAGATTGAGCTCTCTGGGAGATGTTGCTATGTTTTGATAAGAATATGCGTTGAATATTTCATTTACGGGGCAATCCTAGAACTTTATTTAGCAGCATATTGGCCAGACAGCTGTAATTTAGAACATACTGTATTCCTAACAGTTCCCAATTATAAATTCCTTCAGCTTTAACTTACAGTAACCACAGCTCCTTCTATTTTGGAGCTCTAAATCCACCATTTCTCCCCTTCATTCAGCTATGGCATATCAAGAGCTCCTACAGTACAAACAAAGCCTTGCTGGAGAAGGGTCCTAAATCCATTCTCTACCCCCAGCACAGCGAGCAGGCTCATGCTTCCAGCACACTCACAGCTCCACAGACCAACATTTTATTGGTTTATTTGGGGACAGTGGCCCCATTTGTCAGTGCAAAGCCATCCTGCAGTGCCCTGCCAGCAGCAGGCTGGGAAAATGGCTGTGCACATTCCATCCTCCTCCTCCTCCTGCTGCAACAAGCGCTGGAGATCCTGCCAACAAGCCTCACATGTTCAGCGTGGCCCTGTTCTTTGACCTCACACCTATTTTTTTTAAGGATTAAGGCACTGACATGAAAACAAGCAAGTTCTTCAGTGGAGGAGAATCAGTGCTCCACGAGGCCTTTGTGTCTCTCCCCACACCAGGAGCTGCTATGGAGCAGTGCCTGTTGACGGCTCTCCCAGCCATCCTGCTGACTTGATCAAATTTCTGCAAGGAACAGAAGGAGCAGATGAACTCAGTAAAAACAAAGCTCCTGCCTCCATGCAAATATCTCTGGTTAAGAGGAGCAGAGAAATAGAGCGAGCATGATGTGTGTACAGAATTGGCTCCACAGACGCTGCTTCTCAGCAACTGCCATAAGGTGGCAGTGGGTCTTTAAGGCTACCTTACACCTTCCCACAGCACAATAGGAACGAGCACACCAGTGGGTTTCCAGCAGATGAAACTGATTAAGTCATATTTCCTCATCAAGGGAAGCAGGCCCTACATGAAAACTTGGGGCTGAGATCGTCTCCACTGCCAGAGTCACACAAGGAGGAAAAGCCACGGGGGTGAATTCTGCAAAGCCATAAAGGCAGCCCC